AATATGGTTGTGGGGGTCGGATTTCACCCCTATGAGATCGATATGGCGATGAGATCAACTCCACAACGTCTTGACGAAATCAAAGCAAGTCTACAAAGGCCCAGTCTGAATCTAGGCCCAAAATGATATTAAATCCATAAGCAAAATGGGCTTAATTGAATAATGGGCCTAAATTATATATATTGCTTAATGGGCCAGGTCTATTTTATTAGCTGGTCCATTTACTTAGAAGTACTATATATAGTCCCTCATTATCACCCAAAAAGGGGATCGGAATTCATTAGCAAAAAACTCTTGTAACAACTTTTTTCACAGCTAATAAAAACTCTCTTGAGATCTTTGTGTTTGCTTGCTTTCCACAGAACTTTACAAACCTTAAAGAATCACTTAGATTCTAATTGTGAGTTTCGACCGTCACAATGGTGAGTGGACTACTCGACGATTACAATCAACCTGGGTGATAAGTCGAGTGGTAAAAACTCGGATTACCCATTAGTTCTAAAGAAAAGATATACATTAAGAAGAGCAGAGAATCTGACGGCTTAGTGATAGCAACTTCTACGGAATTAGATAGTTGCTTCTCAATGACTTCTAAAGAATAGATTAGTTGTTTTTGAATTTGGAGACATTGTAATATATTAATAGTATTAATGTACAAATTCTACAAGTATGTAACTTTTTCTTTGGTTCGAATTTCTTTTTTTACTCAAATTTGATCGTCGTTGTTGTTCAATAGAAGTGAAACTTTCTTTTTCTCTAAAAGTGATAACAGTCGAGTCTTCTCTTCATTTGCTTTCCCCCACATCACAGCATAAAACCCTAACGTTATCAAAATTCCTCCAATCAAGCTGTAACATAAAGCACAAAATTGAAGATGATTAGATGTTTTTCTTCATAAATAAGCATATGAGGACTAGTAATTCATATACCATCCGAGATAGAGAGAATCGCCGAGAAAAATCGCGCTCATAATCACTGCTATTAAAATCGACAAAGGTTTAAATATCGCTAAGTAAACAGGTCCCTTGTAACGCACTGTCCATGAGTGAATCACGGAGTATACTGGGGTTACTATTCCCTGAAATGCTTCAAAGAAAAATGTAAAGATCAAATCGAAAGAGGATTATGATTAACTTTAAACAAATATACACATAACGTACCATAAATACAATGCTTATCAAAGTAATATCGAATTGAATGATCCAAATGCTTGGATTGTTCATTTCGACTACGAGCCCAGTCAACGAGGTAAAGATTGAAACACATAGAGTGTAGATAAAAGAGACAGTGAAAGCTGATGGATATTCACTCATTATATGTGCCTGTCCAAAATTATTTACATATGATAAACGTTAGCATAAATTGCTGTTTGATTTATATATGAGAATGATCAAAGATACCAACTTCTTCTAAACCTTATAAATCACTTCAAGATTCATAATTCCATTGGCTATTTCTATATACTATTCAAGTTTACAAAGAAATTCGTAGTAATTAAACAAATACTGGTCATTAAAATATAATAACTTGTGCTATTATTTTTTATTAAACAAAAAAACTTGTGCTATTATGTATGAGAAAAAAGGTACCTGGAGAATGAAAGACACAGAAACAAAAATGTCTTTCATGGTAAGAAGACATCCACCGATGAGCCAATCGGAGTTTGAAGATGATAACGGCGGAGAAACCTGGCGGAGAATGATTAGATACGGCGGAGAAGATGCGGAAAAGACACGTGGACCGTGGTAGAGAACCACCACAAGTGCGCCTACTAATGACAATATTGTCCCGATCACTTTGGCTACACTGCTACTTTCTTTGAAAGTTACCTTTTCCATTCTTTTTTTTTTCACAAATTAAAAAATGATTATGTCACGTTTTATGTCAATTAATCATACAGTACATTTTTTTCCTTTCGAATATGCCAAAAGAAATAAAAGACTAATTATGACGCATCTACAGAAAGTCTGTAATAATGCAAACAGCCTTATTCGGTATGGGACCAATGTACAGCGGCGTGTTGTTAACCACAAACTAGGATCGGGATTGTGCGATAGTGATATAATATAAGCTTATCTTATCCTTTTCACTGAAACTGAATAATGTATTGCATGCATTGAAACTAAGAAAAACATAAACAGGAATATAAGTATATATATTCATGCGTAAATTAGTCATTTGATTTTTTTTTTTTGTATGAAAATTCTAAAAACAATATTAAAAGATTTTTTTTTAATTCCCGATTAAAAAAATTTACCAGTAATAAATATATTTTAAATACAAATAGTCACAAAATATCATATTAAAAAAAAAAAAAAATTGTAATCGCGGTCGAATAAGGCTAGAAGTTGCAGTAGGTATTAACCAAACTGGAAAACCTTGGTTAGCCAAATATAACGAATATAGTGAAGTATAAAACTAGCATGATCTGACTTAAAGAGAAATTAAGTTGTCGAGTCGAAAAATCAGTTTAAATGAAAACTTGTTGCCTATTTCGTACGCAAATTAAGCTGAAAACACTTGTTACCCTTTGGACTCATTAACTAGAATGATGAAAATCTATACTAAAAAGAAAAATCGGGAATCAGTAAAACTCCATATAATTAGTAAAATAAAATAAAATAAAAACCTGAAGATAACAGCGAGGATGAAGGTAAGAGCAGGAGTGATATTGCTAATGGCTGAAGCTAAGGTTGGGTTGCTATATTCGATGCCAATGAATCCAGTGATCACATACATTGATCTGTTTTTTGTTTTTGTTTTTCAGTAACAAAAACGAAATTTTGGTATTAGTAACACTTTTAGTGGAAAAGAAATCCTTACTCAAAATTGGAAGAAAAAGAAAAAGAATTATTGTGTATTTGATTTTACCCTAGCAGGCCAAGAAGTCCTATCTTACATAGTATTGCGAAACTTAGTGGAGGAAGTGATCTTGACCTGTAAAAGAAAACCATATAAATGAAATATGAAAAATAAAATGGTTAGGGTCCCAAAGATTGAAGCTGTTAGAAACCTGT